ATATTTAGGGATCGATCAAGACACGTAAATAAAAGGGACTACGTACAGGCTTCAAATTGATAAAATCTTAGAGCCAATAATTCGCTCTTTTTGTACTATTAATTAATTAATTAACGATTCTGATATCATAATCTCAAAGAAGGCAATCTTGATTGATTGTTAATAATCAAGAGGATATAGTGAGGACATGTTGGAATACGATTTTAGTCACAAACTGATTATCAAGCAGCTTCAAAGCTTGTAAAGTAGTGTAGAGTTTAGATTTGTGTACCAAGGTAGCTCTCTTTGCATCGTATTTACAAATAGATAACCAGCTACCAGACCCTCTCACTCTTATGTGATCGCGTGTGTATATATATATATATATATATATAGACTTGGGAAGACCAGCCTGTTTTCGTGAGACCCGTGAGACCAACATCTTATACTTGAAACTTCACAGCAAAATGTTGTGAAGGTGACTTTTTAAAACCTTCACAGTGTTTTTGCTGTGAAGGTTCGACTTTTTTTAAACCTTCACATTGTTTTTGCTGTGAAGGTTCGACTTTTTTTAAACCTTCACAGTGTTTTTGCTGTAAAAGTTACGTGTAAAAATATGGTCTCACGGGTCTCACGAAAACAGGTTGGTCTCACGTGAACCCAATCCTATATATATATATATATTAGAAGCGTATTTGCACAATGCAGCGAGATACATCGTGATTTTAATATTTTATTTTATTCTTAATCTCAGTCGATTTATAATATGACTTTATGTGATTTTGAGAAAACGATGATGTTTTTATTTTTGAAATAAAAAATATGTTTGAAAATATCATAAAAATTTGACAAAAATATATCGATATTAGTATCAAATTAACTATTTGAAATTCCTCATTTTTTGTGTAATTTTTTAATTCAATTTTTTTACAATTTAATTTATGTACAATAACGAATAAATTTATATTTGGTTTAATAATATAATATTTTTATAAAGATAATAATTATTTATTTTGTTGAAACTCGATAATTATTCTAATTATATTTTAGATTTTTTATATTTTAAAATGAGATGTTCATCCTCTATTTGATTATGTTTATGCGCAGTTATTTATACG